TTATTTTGATATATCACAGTGAAAGATTTATCGTCCTCTTTTTTTTTTTTTTTTTTTAAAAAAAAAAAAAAAAAAAAAAAAAAAAAAAAAAAGTGCTTCTTGCAAAGGCATTTTTGACTAGATTAATTGGATTTAGACTCAATAGTTTAAATTCATAGCTTTAGCCTCTCCTTTTAGAATTACTTATTCTGGTGTTTTCTCTTTTAAGAAAAATAGCCAAGGTAGCCCATAGGGAGTACTGTAGTGATCGCTCACATTTTCCCTTTTTATGTTCTCTGTGGGAAGATGACCTCTTTTTTTTTCCACAAGGCTAGGGGAAGCTGGTTATAGAAGACTTGCTTATGAGCAGTGGACCTTGTATAATTGCTTTCCAAAAATCTTTCTAAGAAAATCTTTAAAGGAGTTGTTTTTCACAAATTATAATAGTTCCTAGTAACTGGAGTCTGTAGGCATGTCAAATCTCAGAAAAGGTGTTGGGAAAGGGCCAAGGGATGTTTATTTTGAAGCCACCATGAGAAGATTTTGATTTTTCATCAGTTTTCAGCAAAATGAGGGATTCCACATTGCCTGTGTAGCAGATGTCTCCTGCTCTGCTGAACTCATTCCCAGCAGAGCACAGTCCTTTTTTATTCCTAGAGCCTCATGTGGAGCCTGCACATGTATCCTGTAGCCCCTATGAAAACCTTCAAGCTGTCACAAACAGCTGATTCCATGGACAGATGGGAAGAAGAGAGAATAGGAAGACAGATTCCTCTCAGCATTTATCCCAAGTTCCTAGGTCTTAATTTTTATTGGATTTAATTTTCTTAGAGATCTTTGACCAGTTAAAGACATACTAGGAAATTATGCTCAAATTATACTTATGGCTTAAGTAAGGGATTGATATAAAGCCTCAAGGCTTATCACACTAGTTTTCCATCTGATTCTGGAAAGTAGTTCTTAAAAGTCCAAGGATTTGGGTTGGGGATATAGCTGTTAGTAGAACACTTGCCTAGCATGTACCAAGTCCTGGGTTTACTCCCTACCGCTGCATAAACCAGACATGCCTTTAATCTCAGAAGTTCAAGGCCATTCTTAGAAATCCTGTCTAAAGATAAAAAGTCCAAGGATTTGTAGGAAGTACAATAGATTACAAAGGAGTTCTTTTTCTTCCTCCCTCCATCATCAAATTTGTGACCCTCAAATGGCTTTTGGTGTGGGTTCCTCCAATGGAGCCTGGTTAACCTACCCTGCATCACACACTTAAAGAAAATTGTTTCTGGGGCTGGAGAGATGGCTCTGGTTAAAAGCACTGACTGCTCTTGAAGAGGACCCAGGTTTGATTCCCAGCACCCACATGGCAGCTGATAACCATCCATAATTTCAGTTCCAGGGGAATCCAGTGCCCCCTTCTGACCTTTTCGGGCATTGCACAACATGGGTGCACTTGCATGCATGCAGGCAGTATACTCATACACATAAAATAAAAATAAAAATAAATTTTTTTTTGGTCTTTTTGAAGCAGGGTCTCCCTGTAGCCCCAGCTGTCCTAGAACTCACTATGTAGACCAGGCTGTCCTTGAACCCAGAGATCCGCCTGCCTCTGCTTCCCAAGTGCTGAGACTACAGGCGTGCACTACCATGTCCAGCTTAAAATATTTTTTTTTAAAGAAAAAAAGGGGGCTGGAGAGATGGCTCAGCAGTTAAGAACACTGACTGTTCTTGCAGAAGACCCGGGTTTGAATCCCAGCATCCACATGGCAGCTAAAAACTGTCCATAACTCCAGTTCCAGGGGATCTGACAGCCTCTTCTGTCCTCCACGGGCATTGCACGACATGGGTGCACTCACCTACATGCAGGCAATGCATGCATACACATAAAATAAAAATAATAAATAAAAAATAAATTAAAAAAAAATAGAAAGGAAACTGTACCTTTCCCAGCAGCTGTTGGTTGCCAATAGTTCCTCAGCTAGGATTGGGGCTCCTTACCCTCTTCCCTTAGATTTTTGTCTGACTTCAAACTGAGTTTCTTAAATATATTTCTCACTGCTTGCTTTTTCGTTTTTTATTAGGATCAATATGCCAATGCATTTTTGCATGATGACAACATGAATTTTCGAGTAAATTTACATAGAATGGTAGGTATGACTTTTACTTCTTGGTTTTTTTTTTTTTTTTCCTTTGGTCTTTTTGAGAGACAGGGTCTCCCTGTAGCCCCAGCTGTCCTGGAACTCACAGAGATCCACCTGCCTCTGCTTCCTGAGTGCTGGGATTAAAGGCATGCACCACCACGCCCAGCTACTTCTTGTTTTTAATAACAAATTTTTTGTGTGTGTTGGTGGGTTTGGGATGAAATTGATCTTTTTAAAACAAATGGTGGTAGGGGACTGGAGAGATGGCTCAGCAGTTAATAACACTGGCTGTTCTTGCAGAAGACCCAGGTTCCCACTCACATGGCAGCTGACAACTGTCCATAACTCCAGTTCCAAGGGATCTCACGGCCTCTTTTGTTCTCCACAGGCATTGCACAACACGAGTGCACTTACCTACATGCAGGCAATACACGCATACACATAAAATAAAAATAATAAATAAATATTAAAAAAAAATGGTGGATAGTTGTATACCTAAAGGACTCAATGTGTGATCGCTTTTCAACAGATCTATGTCTGTCCTTGGGACTTTGGTATGTCATAGAGCTGTTTTTTGCTCAAGAGAGGATAGCAAGATCCACATAGCTATTGTGGTAACACTGCAATATGTTAGTAGTATATTTAAAAAAGATATGACTCTAAGCCTTTTCTTTTCAAAAGGGAGTATCATACTTGGGTTGTCAGGGTTGGTGACAAGGACCTTAAGCTGCTGAGCATCTTGCCAGCTCTTTTTCTTATTTTTAATTTTATTAAACCAGAGTGTCATGTAGCTGAAGTTGGCCTCAAACTCACTCTGTAACCAAAACTGGCCTTGAACTCCTGATTTTCCTGCCTTCCCTTCTTTAATGCTGGAATTTTAGGTGTGTACCACCATGCTCAGCTTTGTAGTATGATTTTGGTTGGCTAAGACTATCGTTTAGATTTGAAAATTCTTTTATTTTTTTATTTTTTATATTTTATTTATTATTTTTATTTTATGTGTATGAGTGTATCGCCTGCATGTATGTGAGTGCACCCGTGTTCTGCAATTCCTCAGAGGTCAGAAGAGGGCTTCGGATTCCCCTGTAACTGGAGTTAAGGATGGTTTGTAGCTGCCATGTGAGTGCTGGGAATCGAACCCGGGTCCTCTGCAAGAGCAAGCAGTCAGTGCTCTTAACCGCTGAGCCATCTCTCCAGCCCCGAAAATTCTTTTTTTTTTTTTTTTTAATTGCAACTGCTGCTGTTGCTGACTGTATAGCTGTCACCAGCACCTCCTCTTCATTTGTGTGTGTGTGTGTGTGTAAAGGTGCATACACGAACTGTGGTCAGAGGACAACCTTGGATGTAGTTCTGCAGGTGCCGTACACATTTTTTTGATTGGTCTGGAGCTTGCCGAATAGGTGAGGCTGGCTGACCAGGGATTCCCAAGAATCTGCCTGTTTCTGCATCCCCAGTGCTGGGATTACAAATGTATTCCATCACACTTGGCTTTTTTATGTGGGTTCTGGGGCTTGAGCTCAGGTCCTTGTGCTTGCCTTTACCAACTAAGCCATCTCCTCAGTCCTTCCTCTTTATTTTTTTTGGTCTTCCTGTAGCCACAACTGGCTTAGAACTCATATGTAGACCAGGCTGGCCTTGATCTCATAGAGATCTGCCTGCCTCTGCCTCCTGAGTGCTGGGATTAAAGAGGTGCACCTCTGCACCCAGCCCTTTTCTTTTTCTTAATTATTTTTTATTACTAAAGAAAAATACTAGTGTGCTTTTTTTATTGTTGGTAATGTCACTTGTCCGTTATAGATAAAAGTAAAAACAACATCTTTTCTGTTGCAGTGTGCACCAGTGCCCTTTGGGACTATGGTCTTGCTGTAAATTGTATTTTTGCCACACACCTGCATTGATAACTAAGATGCATTTACAAGTCTTCCCTCCCCCAAAGAAAAAGAAAAATTAGAATCTCTGTAGTAGAGATTTTATTTGCATGAGAAACATCATGCTAATTTCCTTTCCTTGTGTGTGTGAAGCCAATGAGACACAGGAAGAAGGCTGCTGACAGGAACCTCCCCTGCCGTCCTCTAGTGTGTGCAGTCCTGGGTGAGTATTTCAGAACTGGTGTTTTTCTGAGGCAATGATAGGTTTTCCTGATAAAGATGCTAGTTGATTTGCTTTTTCCTCAGATGAGTTACTATTTATACTTCTTGAACCATGACCTAAGAAGTTGTGTTTATTGCTGTGTGTCATAAAGCAATCCCAGTGAATTGAGTGCTCAATAAAAGGGTGCTGTTGTTCATAGAAAAGAATCTTTCCTGGGACAAAAGTATGTCTAAACTGGATACATGATTTAATTGGTAAGATGTCTTACTCTTGACCAAGATTACAGATTATTTACTCCCTTTCTTGGTCTAGGTTGATGTATCTTGCCAGGAGGTTTAAATTTCAAGATTGAGATACACAAAACTTCCCTTGAGTAAATTTAATTGAGATGGAGCTGGCAAGTAGGGGCTGTGTCTTAGGTCATTTTGTCTTCCCAGAATCTTGTATTTTACTTAGAGAAATTAGTGGAACTCTTAATCCCATTTTCACTTGGATATTCAACCTCAGTTCCTGAATCTACCTGATTTTAGAAACAGTAATTAAGACTATATAATAAACCTGTGTTGACTCAGAGCCCCACAGACTATTTTAGTCAATATTTGTCAAATGGCATCATAGTGAGCCTATTGACAGATTTAGAGCTGAGTCTCAGGTTGCTTGGATGGGATCCATAATTTCTTTCCTCATTGCTCTAGTCTCAGAATGTGATTTCCCTGTCATTTTGTATTTGTGCCATGGTAAGAGATATCTGAACAATGAAATTTCCCTTGTATCTGAATTTATTGGCAGGTCTTTCTAGAAGTAGGAGAGTAAACTATTTTGTTAATATTTGTTAGTTTTTAAGAGTGATTTATTTTGCTTATTAACTTGTAAGAGAATGAACATTTTGCTTAATTTTTAAGTGGCAAGTATTATATAAAATAAAGTTACATGCAGGTAGCTACAGATGTGAATAGGGGATTCAGCATGAGTACAAGGCACACAGTTTTCAAAGTTTTTTCCAACTTAAAGGTAAGGAATGAGTTTCATTCTAATCTGATTTCTCATTTTCGTCCTTTCCCCTTTTAGACCTGATGGTAGAGTTTATTGTAACACACATGATGAAGGAGTTTCCTATGGATCTCTATGTGTAAGTGCCATGGTTCACTTAGTATGTGGAAATTTATTATGATGAATCAAGTGATAGAGCTGGGCGTGGTGGTGCACACCTTTAATCCTAGCACTCAGGAGGCATAAGCAGGTGGATCTCTGTGCGCTTAAGGCCAGCCTGGTCTATGTAGTGAGTTCCAAGCCAGCTGGGGCTACTGGGAGACCCTGTTTCAAAAAGCCCCCCCCCCAAAAAAAAACAAAAAACAAGTGATAGAAAATTTATGGTCTGTGTATACTTTAAGAAAAACACATTTATGTTTGAAGAAATATCAGATGTGAGATGTGTTAGTCTTTTCAGAAGTGGAAGAGTACAAACATTTGGATTTTGTATATATCTTCATTATCACTTTTTAAAAAATCTTTTTTAAAATTTTATTTTATTTTTATTTTTTGTTTATGCATGTATTGACTACATGTAGGTAAGTGTACCCATGTTGTGCAATGCCCAAGGAGAACAGAAGAGACTGCTGGGTCCCCTGGAACTGGAGTTGTGGACAGTTGTTAGCTGTCATGTGGGTGCTGGGATTTGAACCCAGGTCTTCTGCAAGAACAGTCAGTGTTCTTAAGCTCTGAGCCATTTCTCCAGCCCCATTTTTTTTTTTTTTTTTTTTTTTTTTTGTCTTTTTTTGAAGCAGGGTCTCCCTGTAGCCCCAGCTGTCCTGGAACTCACTATGTAGACCAGGCTGGCCTTGAACTCACAGAGATCCGCCTGCCTTTGCCTCCCAAGTGCTAGGACTACAGGTGTACGCCACCACGCCCGGCTTTTTTCAAATCTTTTTGAGGCAGGTTCTTCCTGTAGCCCTAGTTGGCCTGGAACTCACTATGTAGACTAGGCTGGCTTTGAACTCAGAGAAATCTTCCTACCTCTGCCTCCCAAGTACTGGAACTAAAGGCCTGCACCACCACAGTGACTTCTTTATCATTTCCCAGCATGCTGCATGAAGATCTGAGTAGATACCTTGAAACAAATCATATGAGATTGTTGCACTCTGAAGATCTGTAATTTGAGCATACCATTTCACTGTCTCTGAGTGCTAACATTGAAGCAGTCAACAACATTTAGAGTTAGGAAGAGATCAAAAGAGAACTTTTGGTTCATTCTTACCTTACATTGTTATGAGAGCCTACCCTTGCTACATAAGCAGATTATGCCTTCAATGACCTGGTTGGGAAATTCCTGTCTCCTAAAAAAGAGATCTGATCATCCATCACAATTCTTTACAATGAGTGCCTCAGAGGCTACTAAAAATCATTGTATATCATAAAATTTAGGCCATTTACATTTTTGTTTCCTTTACTGCTTTGCTTTCTTTTACCCAGTACTCCAGAACATTAATATCATTCCAAATGTATGTATTTTTCCTTCCTTCAAAAGCATTTCAGACAAGGTATGTCGATGCAACCTGTAGATCCTAGTACATGGGAGGTGGAGGCAGGAGGATTAGAAGTTCAAGATCACCCTTAACGGCTTAACAGTTTTGAGGCCAACCTGGGCTACATGAGATTTTCTATACTTACACACAACACACACACACACACACACACACACACACACACACAGAGCAGCTCAATTAAATCAAGTTTGACAACAGAATTAATACCTCCATTTTTTTCTGATGAGAGAACAATTTGTTGTACTAAGTTGGCATACTTTATTCGAGAACCAGAACTTGGGTATAGGGAGATATACAGAACTTACCTAGACTAGACCTCTAGTTTTTCAGATTGCTTATAGACTATATAGTCTTGGTTTTCTTGAGCTAATGTAATATAAATTTTACTTTTGGATTAATAGGCTACAGTTCTCCATCTCTTTTGACTGTTTAGAAGTCTGATCCTTAATTTTAATGTAAAGACCAATGAAGCTGATTTTTATATAAGGAAGATGAATTTCTCCTGGGTGTGGTGGCATATGCCTTTAGTCCCAGCACTTGGGAGGCAGAGGCAGGTGAATCTTTGTGAGTTTGAGGCTAGCCTGGTCTACATAGCAAGTTCCAGGCCAGCTGGGGCTACAGGGAGACCCTGTCTCAAAAAAGACACCCCCCAAAAAAGCAGATGAATTTCTGCTTATTTTAGATTTTAGATGGAGTCTCTGAACACCTGCAACTTAGGGGTCAGATATTTTTTAAAATTTTTATTTGATGTATATGAGTGTTATGCCTGAATGTATATAAGTATATCCATATTGTATAGTGCCTACAGAGGACAGAAGAGAGGATTGGATCCCCTAGAACTGGACAGTTGTTAGCAGCCATGTGGGTACTAGGATTTGAACCTGGATCCCCTGCAAGAACAGCCAGTGCTCTTAACTGCTGAGCCATCTCTTCAACTCCTCAGATGTGTTTTTGCTATAAACTTTCTGACTCGTTTTCTTTCTTGCTCTCTCCTTCCTTTTAAAATTTTGTATATTCTTCTTTCTGTGTGTGATGTGTGTATATATGTGGTAGGGGAGGACATAGCATATGTATGGAAGTCAGAAGATAACTTGAGGGTACTAGGAATTGAACTCAGGTTGCTAGGTTTGGTGGCAATCATCTTGCCAGCCCTCATCTTTTTTTTTTTTTTTTGAGACAGGGACTCATTAGGTAGACCAAGCTGACCTCTATCTCACAGAGATCCACCTGCCTCTGTCTCCTGAGTTTTGGGACTAAAGGCATGTGCCACCACACCTGGCATGTTTTTTGTTTTTTTTTTTTTTAACCCTACTCTCCCTTTTTTTTTGGTCTTTTTGAGACAGGGCCTCCCTGTAGCCACAGCTGGCTTGGATTTGCTATGGAGAGCAGGCTGACCTTGAACTCACAGAAATCTACCTGCTTCTGCCTCCCAAGTGCTGGGATTAAAGATGTGTGCCACCACGCCCATCTTCTCCTGGTCTACATAGCGAGTGCCAGGCCAGCTGGGGCTACAGGGAGACCCTGTCTCAAAAAGAAAAAAAAAAAAAAAAAAAAAAGATTTATATAAATAAACTATTTAGAAAAGGAGGCTTGGGATGATCATTGTGAATTCAAGTTCAAGGCCAGCCTGGTCTACATAGCACGTTCCAGGCCAGCTGGGGCTCTCAAAAAAGATCAAAAAAAAGAAAAAGGCTACTCAGGGCTACAATTAATTAGAATCTTTTCCTTTCACTAATTTATTTGAATATTATTGAATTTTTGTGTATTTCATGCAGAAAATCATCTTTATTCCCCCTTCCCCTTTGGCACCCTCCCATAGCCCCCCACTGGAGTTCATACATTCTGTCATTTATATTAAGGTCTATTATGTAAAGTTAGTGTCCCAAGTTGTCCCTCAGTGCAAGTTCATCCAATGGGGTTTAGTTAGCCTATCTAGAGACTCTACCTTTAAGAAGATCAGCTCTAGCTGGGGGTGGTGGTGCAAGCCTTTAGTCCCAGCACTCCGGAGGCAGAGGCAGGTGGATATCTGTGAGTTCAAGGCCAGCCTGGTCTACATAGTGAATTCTAGGCCAGCTGGAGCTACAGGGAGACCCTTTCTCAAATGAAAAAAAAAAAAAAAAAAAAAAAGAAGAGGAAGAAGATCAGCTCTCCCTCATCCCAGCAGTAATCAGCTGCCAACAATTCTTTGGCAAAGATTGGGGGTTGCTGTTCATTTCCACAGTTCTGTGCTGGGTTTTTGTCTGCTTAAGTTGCATGGACCTCGTGCATGCTGACACCATTGCTGTAGGTTTGTATGAGAAGGGTCCCTGGTGCCTGTAGGACTATTTCTGTATGTCATGCACCTCTTCCCTGGCTCTTACAATCTTTCTGCCCCCTCTTCTGAAATGGTCCCTGAGCACTGGGTGGGTGGACCTCAGTATAGGAGTCCTGTCCAAGGACCTTAACTCTGCTAACTCGTATTCTCTGTGTTTGGCTATTTGTAGCCTTTTGTGTTCCTGGCCCTCTGTTGTATGAGGGAGCTTAATTGATGAGAATTGAAAGATGCATTAGTGTGCATTTGGGTGCATCAGAGTTTGGTGCATATAATATGTTCATGATTGTAATATCTTGGTTAATTGTTCCTTTGATCAGAGTGAAGTACCCTCTTTATCTCTTCTGATTAATTTTAGTGTGAAGTTTGTCAGATAATAGAATTGCAACCCTGCTTGTTTCTTAGTGTCATTTGCTTGAAGTATTCTTTTCCATCCTTTTATCTTAAAGGTAGTGCCTGTCCTTGAAGGTGAGATGGGTTTCTTGCAGACAACAAAAAGATGGATTTTTGTTTCAGTCCATTCAACTAGCCTATGTCTTTTGACTGGGGAGTTCAGTCCATTGATATTTAAACTTATTATTGAAAGATGTGTGTTGGTTGCCATCATTTTGTTTGCTGTTTGCATTCTTTATCCAAATTTATGTTCCACAATTATACCTTTCATTTAGTTTCTTTTTTTAGCATTAATGTGTGTATATTTTTAGCATTAATGTATTTTTTTAGCATTAATGTGTTTTTTTTAGCATTCATTGTTTTTAACATTAATGTGTTAACTTACCTTATGTAGTATCATGGTCAGTGGTTTGTGGGGATTTTTAATATTTTATTTATTATTTTTATTTTATGTGTATGAGTGTATGAGTGTATTGCCTGCATGTATGTGAGTGCACTCGTGTCATGCAATGCCACAGAGGTCAGAAGAGGGCTTCGGATTCCCCTGGAACTGGAGTTAAGGATAGTTTGTAATCACCACATGGGTGCTGGAAATCGAACCCAGGTCCTCTGCAAGAGCAGTCAGTGCTCTTAACTGCTGAGCCCCAGCATTAATGTGTTTTTCATTTAATTTCTTTCTGTTGCTCCTGGGGTATAGTTGTTCTTTTTTCCATTTTTTGTATTTCTTCAAGTATTCCTTAGGCCTGGTTTTGTGGGCATTTGTTCTTTCAGTGTATATGTGTCATGGAAGATTTTTCTTTCCCCTTCAACTATAATAGACATTTTTGCTGGATAAAGTATTCTGGGTTGGCATCTGTGGTCATTTAGAACTGGAAATACCTT